ACACATCATGTTTATCACGGGTGATTCTTACCCTGAAGCCCCGCGATAAGTGAAAAACCGCTAAGTAGTGATAAGAGTACAAGTAGTTTATTTCAATATTAAATGTATATATAAAACGTTATACTGTATATAAAATGTTTTCTCTGGTTTGTATTTTTGTTTTTGTAATCTTTAACATATTTTGCCGCTGATCTCGTGCAGCCTTCAGGTGTGAATGAACAGGCTCATTTGCATGATGAGACAGCAGCCAAAACAAGCAGGGACTGTTTTTCTGTGTGCTTATTTCCTGATTCACCAACCCAATGTAAAGGTCGTTCAACCGCGGGTTCAGCGTTCTCATAAAAAAGTCAGTCAGTAGATTTTTATTTGCCCTTGATTTTTTTACTGCCATATTTACAACTAAACATAGTTTCAATTTATTTTACTTTTCAGCTGGTTGGTTTCACTCAATCTGAAGTGATCCTATATATTTGCTTTTTTTTTTTTTTTTGACATTGAACGAAGTCAGGCAGTTGTAGTGTTTGTAGTGTAGTAAAGATCGTTTCTACTTTACCCAGAATTTTTGCTTGTACTTAAATATACAAACACCTTTTGTCCGAATTTCCATACTAAAAGCAAAATGCCTCAATGATTCAGAAAATGCAATAAACATTCCAACAACATTCGACAATACTTCACTAAATTGTGGAATCTAATAAAGAAGACGCATTGAAATATTCAGGTAATTGCATCATTTTTACCTGGTAGCGTCTAAATTGAGATGATAATCCAAGATTGGTAAAAGTAAGATAAAATTAATAATAAAAATAATTTTTAAAATTGAACAAAGGTAACCATAAATTTGTGTTTTTAAAAATAGGCTGAATGTCATGCCTCAAAGTGATATGGCCTTCCAGTCACGATGAGTCTGATGGCTTTTTTATGCTTTCCTGATAAGTTTTGTTTAAAAGAGCACTCTGACAATAAGAGGTCAGAGGTCAGACATCTTTTAGCCACCACAGAGGCATATTTCTATGAGTAGAAACTCATAATACTATATAGTATTATGTAACACTCAAGTATCTATTTTTTTTTTTGGAAAGGCTTGAAAAGTGTATTTTCATTAATTACCGGTAGACAGTCTAAGCTACAAGGAAATAGAATGTGGTGCTCCTCAAGGAAACTGTCTTGGACATCTGAGGTTGTCAATGGGACATGTCTTATGGCCCTTATGCATTGCAAGGCCTAGCCTGGCATGAACTGGCCCAACCCAGGTTCTTTCCTGGGTTTGAGTGTTTGCGTTGGGCAGTCTGGTCCAGTTCCAGCTTGATTTTGGAAACCCAGAGACCTGGGGTTCCATTCAGGCGTGGGTGATGCTGCAGATTTGACATCAGCAGATTGCTAGCCATTGATGGTTCGCTGGCCTGGGAGGTCATGTCACAGATGAGTCATGATTCCAGCAACTGCTCCTTACCACAATTTCCTTCAGCTACTTGCTTCTAGATGGTTGTGTGTTAGAGCTCCTATTTTTCTTTGGGAAAAAATGGCAATGCAAAAGATAGGACCAGCATCCTGGACAAATGACAAGGTACTGTTATTACTGAACTAAGATTTGTGCGGTCTTGCTATGACGATCCTGCCCACATCGAGGTGGCACTCTGCTCAAAGCAAACAAAACCAGAGCCGAGGAAGACCGGGGCTGGGAGGACTGCGGCCAGTCTAGGCCAGACCAGGATGTACAATGCATAAAATGTATTAGAATTGACTTGATTAAAATAAGATGGAAAATATTAGCTGCTAGCTTAAAATGCCATATTATCACTGTTGTGTGATGTTTGCTTCGATGTGTCCTGTCATCCCAACTCTGCACCAAAGCAATAAACAAAAGTAAGCTTACTTAAGCTAATAAAATTCAAAACTAGTGTGCAACATCTTCACTACGTCCTATAAACCGCATATAGCCAACTTAACCTGACAATGAGGTTTTACCTGCAGAGTGTGGAAGTGGCCTTTCTCGGCACACACATGCAGAGGAGAGCGACCCCACAGGTCTCGGATATTGATCTGAGCCCCGTGAGTCAGAAGGTCGCAAACTATTAGGTGCTGGTTGGTGGCAGCTGCGATCTGGAGAGCCGTCTGCAGACAAATACCATGCGTATTCAATACTTATTTAGGACGGGGCTGATGCACATAAGATGACCTTGTGATGGTTCTGTACCTGCCCGTTGTGTTCCTTTGTGTCCAGAGAGCCACAACTGGCCATTTTTGCAGCGAGCACATAGGCGAGAGCTCGTCTACCTTGAGCCACAGCTATGTGAAGAAATCTGAAAAGACAAATGCAGTAAAGAGTTTTAAAAAGTGGTGTATACGATTTCTTTTAACTCTCATTGCTGTAAACAGACAATATTTTAGTGCAATAACAGAACTGTGTAAATTTGGGTGGAAAAGGAGTTCTAACTAGTTGTAGATCCAAAACATTTTAAAAAAAGCATTCAGTTTCTTCAATTTTTTGGATTTATGTTTTTCTTTTAGTCGATTCTCTGGAACAAATTGAGTCACTTTTCTTTGGAAATTGTCACTAAAAAGAGGATGTGTGGCCTGGAGGTAAACGCTTGAATTGAAAAGTTTCTTGGCTTGCAGTTTAATTTAATGAGCGTTATTTATTTTTGCCCTTTTAATTGTGTTATAATCAGAAAACAGTTCATTTTCAGATGGAGTTGTATATCACTCTTACTGCAAGGTGCACCTCAGAGAGGCTGTCTCGGACATTTAAAGTTTTTATTCATCTGTTTTCACAATAAACTTATCATAAATAAATATCTTGATGAGTTCCCACTATAAAAACAATAAACAAAACGGTTTTTTTTTTTGTTTGTTTGTTTTTTTGTGGGGGGTGGGGGGGGGGGGGGGGGGTTGAATCCTGCAGTGATAAGACAGTTGACTTTGTCCTCAGTGATAAATTAGCATGATTCTCCCAGAACAGAGGGAGTTTTATTGGACGGCAAAACAAACTAAGCCATTTCATGCCTGTAGTGTGCATGATACCTGATCCATCTGATCCATCCATCAAACAGATCATGCATTCAATAACTTTGTCTCAATACAAATTTGTGCAGGTTTGCTCCACTTGCACAGTGGCCAAGCCTAAAACTGAACAAAAACAACACTGGCAGGGCCATAATGGGTAAGATTCTTAAAGATGTGCAACTTTACTCAGAGCTATCATTCAGAAGTTACTACTAGTTTTAAGTTTATGTTTTGTTTTTTTCACTGAATTGCTCATTTGATGACAGCCTACCTTTTTTTTTTTTGTCAAAGTTCCACTTGGATCTTCTTTGCCTACATGTATCTAGCTTTATATTTTAATTTCAGTTCGCTAACATCATATTACATTGTATTTTATCCCATCTGGCTGTTTCCCCTGCTCTTGTTTAAAAATGTTAAACTTGTTCATCCATACGTACGTGTCACCGTCCGAGTCCTGCATGTTCAGCTGATCTGCTGTCAGTCCCTGAGCTTTTTTGAACTCTTGCTGAATTTGCCATTGAAACAGAGTCATTTTGAACTCGGGCGCTGGAACATCTTGTCCCTGCAGAGCAGGACGTTGCACGGGATGCTGAATGTGTTGCGCGGTCATGTAGGCGTTTTGAGGAACAGCAGGGACAAAGTTAGCTGTGGTGTTTGGGTTCAGGAGTGCAGGAGGGCTTGGCAGTGGAGGACTCGCATCAGCAATGTTGTATTTGGCGACTTTGAATCTATGCTCGGGCTTCCATTGCTGAAAGAGTTAAATATGCAACATGGACAAGTTAATACAAGATGCAGGCATGTTAATGCAAAAGAAAAAACAACCTTTACATGCGGATCTGGAATCTTTTTACTCTCGTTTATTTATTTTTTGGCAGTTCTTCCTCATACTTTTGTAATTATTAAGTTACGCATGATGAAGTTCTTTCTTATAAACACAAACGCACAAATACACCATTCATGTTCACATTGACTAACCTGGCGTCTCAACATGAGCAGTTCCTTTACGGTGTTCTTCTTTTGCATTGAAGGAATGGATGCCGGTAGTTTGGTTTCGGCCATCATACAACCTGAACAAGAAAATATAAATAAACTATATTAAAACCACCAAACTACAATGAGTTTACCTAAATGATACAATATTGGCTGAAAAACGTGAAATACCATTACAATTTTTTGGGTTTGGTTTTCTATGCATAAAATAATAAACCTGTTTTGACTGTATTTTAAATATAAAAGTAGCATTTTAGTGTTTAAAACACCCAAGTACCTTCTTTTAAAGGAACATATTGGTGAGGTGTTCCACTTTGGTTTTAAAACACTTCAGCCTTAAAACTGCACATTAAAAATGTTTTAATGATCTTTTAGGAAACAAACAATTTCTTTACAGCCCATTTGCATTATGAAGTTCCACAGGGTTATATACTTGGAATACAAATATTTTACTCTGCATTTTCTGCAAAACCAGAATGAACGCTGAATGATTTAGCTGAAATTTACTGAACAAAAGCTGAACCTGAATTGTCAAAGCTAAAAGAAGCAGATCATTATCTAAAAGTTTAAAGAAGTAAAACACTATCTTAAAGTAGCAACATTAAGTAAAAGCTAAATGTAGCAAGTAGCTTGCTAAAAGCTAAAACAGCAATGAATTAACTAAAAGTAGCAAAGAGCTAGCTGAAAATCAAAAGTATCAAAATTCCTGTTAAAAGTACTAAAAGTCTATAGCTAAAAGCTAAAAGTCTACACTAAGAATGGTAGATAAAAGTTAAAGTAGTAAAAGGATAGCTAAAAGCTATTAGTATAAAAATGCTACATAGAAGCTAAAAGTAGCAAGAGGCTTGTTTAAAACTAAAAGTAGTAAAAAGGCTAGCTAAAAGCTAAAAGTAACAAGAGGTTTGCTAAAAGTCAAAACTAAGAACGGTAGCTAAAAGTTAAAAGTAGTACATAGCTAAAAGCTATTAGTATCAAAATGCTACCTAGAAACTAACAGTGGCAAGAGGTTTGTTTAAAACTAAAAGTATTAAAAGGCTAGCGAAACGCTAAAAGTAACAAAAGACAACCCAAAAGTTAAAACTAAGAATGGTGGCTAAAAGTTCAAAACAGTAAAAGGATAGCGTATCAAAATGCTACCTAGAAGCTAACATTAGCAAAAATGCTTGTATAAAGCTAAATGTAAAATAAGCAGATTTTTATGTTTTTGATGTGTTGAACATGACGTGTTTTTATAGAAACAATTATTGTAAATAAAATTATATTTTGAAAAGTTAAAAAACTTAAAAACAAAGTCATAGCAATAGTCTCCTGCATGAGCTGAAGGTCTTGGTATATGATCAGCTAAAAATGGCACAAAGTTTGCAGGAGAGTTTAGATTAGAAAAACCATGGAGGAATAAATACAGGAAAACAAACAGGTTTGACTGAGAAACTTTTAAAAGTTGAGACTTTATTATTATTATTTTTATTTTTTAAATACAAACCTTCCTTATTTGGACCGAAGTTGAAGTTCGATGACGCAACCTGGCCTCTTTGGTCCAACATGCTCACCAAGGGAGACATTTACCAAGCTCCACACCTGGGGGGGCAACACCAAGCTGTCAAAAAGAGTTCGTGATGATAAAAACATGTGCAACCTGCTTACCTGTCGCCGCTAACGAAAAAGGATGAGGAGCAGCAACTGTCACGCAAACCCGCTCCACACCTGGAGCAACTTCCTCCTGACACACAGGTGACTGTGTTACAAAACAAGAGCGTCTCATTTAAGTGAGTTAAAACGCACATTTTTTGAGCAGATGCTTATCGATCAAACCTAAAGCAGTAAAATACACATTAGATTAATGAAAATATAAGCTATAAAATTGTATTTCACTTTCTACTTCACTGGTAAATGACAAAAACTGCTTTAAATACATTTTCCTGGCCAATGAGATCAGTTCAGATGCAAAACAGTTTAAGATGATGAATACAGTCACACTCACATATTCAAATTACAATATCTTCTAGTCAAAATATATATTTCTTATCTTAAGCGTTCATAAAAATAAACCTGATTTCCTAATCCCTTCTAAAAAAAAAACGTTTGCTTAACTTACCTGTTGTTGCCTCTTCAGCAGGAAGAGCCAGCAGGTAGAAAATGAAGGCGTGAGAGCTGTGCAGCTTGGTTTTCTTCTTCATAGAAACTCCTCCCCCTCTTAACAGATTATATTTGTTGGGATTTTCCCTCCAGGCCTGGAAAAAGGCTCCCCTGTGTGCAAAATGCTGCGAGCGTGAAGCTGACAAGGACCGAAGAGGAAGTAAGCTGTCGAACAAGTAGAGGTGCACTGAGAGCAAAACGTAGACTCGAAGTTCTGTTCGGGAGTGAAAATGTAGTCCAAGAGCAAAACTATAATAAAAGTTAATAAATAACGAGTCATGAACGGCAACAAGGTTGGAGAAAATCAACACAAACTCCTCATAGCAGCTGTCGAGCACGGAGGTGGAGAGGCGATGATTTGGTTTTTGTTTTGTAGCCGCAGGACCCTGAGGTCACCGAGTTGACCTTTACTAAAACAATCAAAGGTGAGGCCGCCTCTCTGGCAGCTAAAGCTGAAAATAGCAGCAGAACGTTCCCTAACAAATCAGGAAATCTACAACAGAACGTCAAAGTTCATGCTCATTAATCCAGGTGTAAAATCCAACAATGTTCCTTCAGGTCATCAGGATGGTTTCTTTTTTTTGTGTGTGTGTGTTGAGAGATGTTTTGTCTTTCATCCAAAGGACTTCTTCAATTGGAGGAGCTACAAACAAATTCTGTCCCACAAGCAGCACACTCCCATAGTGGACCAACAAGTTTGCTGGTGATAAGATGGTTTCTGGGGCCCACCCTCTCCCCCGTCGACAACTCTGAGGCATTATAGCCAAAGTGGTTCAAAACATCAAAGTTCATGCCCAATAATCCAGGTAAAAAAAAAAAAAATCCAACAATGTTCAGTCAGATCATCTGAATATTTCTTTTTTTGTTGTTGTTGAGAAGTTCATCCAAACTTCATCCAAAGGACTTCAACAACTGATTGATGAAGTCATTTGGATGAAAAAACAACAAGCAACTGTCCAGATGACCTGACTGAACATCGATGGGCTACAACAGGATGACGCACCATGAATGAACCAGTGTTGCAAAGTCAAAGTCCAAAACCCAACATGATTAAATCCTGTGCCCATTAACTCAAAGAGGCAATGTTGCAAAGAGTGGGGCCAAAGTTCTTCCACATCGTGAGAGACTGATACAACTACTTCCAAATTATTGCTGCTAGAGGTGATTCTGCAAGCTGTTCTTCGTTTTTTAGACCAGTAGTTCTCAAACTGGGGTCCCCAGACCCCCGGGAATCCACAAGCCAGTGCTTGGGGTTCTGCAATAAATAAATAAATGTACAAGCACGTAGATGTTTAACAACCAGTTAAAATACACCAAAATGCAGGAAATCACATTTAATTTATTCAACATTTTCTGGGGGGGAGGAGCCCCAGACCCCGCCCCCAAAGTCATTTATGTTCCAGCAAATTCCAGTTTACATGTTAATCCCTGTTACTTGCTATGATTACTGCTGTTCTGATTCTGTTCAGTTTTATGTGAATAGTTTTCGGTGATAATCTGAAGAAGTGGCAACACATTTATTACGTTCATTATGTGAGTAGATCAAGTTTTAAAGTGGTTTTTGATTGTGAATTTTCTCACAATTGTAATTTTTGGAAGGTGAAATGAAAAATGTTGTTTGTGTTTTGAATGAAAAACACCCCATGTTTTTAAACGTATTAAAAAAATGTATCAACACTCCAACAAAGTTCACTCAGGTCATCTGGACGGTTTCCATTTGTGTCGAGACGTTTCGTCCTTCATCCAAAGCACTTCATTAAGTCAAACTGAGTCCCACAATTCCACGTGCTGCTTGTGGGACTCACGCTTGTTGTGGATTTTCGGATGGATGAAGTCCTTTGGATGAAGGACGAAACGTCTCAACAAAAAAAGAAACCGCCCAGATGACCTGACTGAACTTTGTTGGACATTCTACTTAGATTATTGCGCATGAACTTTGAGGTTTTGAACTTTGGCTATGGCTGCCTCAGAGTTGTCGACGGGGGAGAGAAAGGGGCCCCAGAAACCATCTTATCACCATCAAACTAGTTGGTCCACTACGCGAGTGTGCTGCTTGTGGGACTGAGTTTGTTGTGGCTCCTCGGACTGATGAAGTCCTTTGGATGAAGGATAAAACGTCTCAACAACAAAAAAAATCCAGATGACCTGACTGAACTTTGTTGGATTTTCTACCTGTATTAACACTATTTCAAAACAGGTTTTAAGTATTTGTTACACAAATATTTCTATTGCAATAAAGAAACAAATTGAAGAAAATTATTTAATAAACACGAGGGTTATAAGGGGGTCCCTGAACCCAAAAAGTTTGAGGACCCCTGCTTTAGACCACATAGATATAATTTTATTACGTCAAGATACTTTACTTTTTTCCCCCAGGGCCATAAATGACACTTTTCACAACAAGGCCTGGAAGACAAGACTCAGGGTTTAATTTCCCTTTAATGTGATGGAAAAACTGAGCAAAGTTGCACAACCTTAGTATCACAAACACACTGAACCATGAAGAACATGCAGTTTCTGTTTCACAGCAACACGTCTCGACTCGTTTCCTCAACCAAATATGCAGTCGTTCGACACGTTAAAAAGAACTTTACAGTTTAATTAAATACTGCGCAAGTTTACAAAGCTACGCTAAACCATTGCATTAAATAAAAACAACATTTTGTTCCAACGTTTGTAGAGATCTGGACAGAAACACTGGCTTTTTGTTTTTATACAGCAGATGAACATGACGGGAAACATCATAAATAGACAACTTCTTATTTTGACTCTTTAAAATAGTGCAGAAATTTAGTTTAATGTTCCAATAATTTCATATTTGAACTTTGGTGCTAACTGAAATACAGTTATTATTTTTTTTTTTTTTGAACATTACTCCTGCATGTTGCAAAATAACTTCACATCCGGTTTGATTTGAGGTTAAATGTGAAACTTTGTGGAGCTTTCCAAGACAAAAACAGGGGGAAATCTGCAGCTTCTTTAAACCGTCAAGTCATACATGTTCAAAATCTCACAAAATTAAAAAATAAAATAGAATCATGTGTAAGCAAAGACAGGCCTTAAAATATTAATTTAGTGTTTTTGTTAGTTGTAGTTTAGGGTTTTTATCAGAATAGGAATTACCGTATTATTCGGACTATAAGGCACACCTAAAATTCTTTAATTCGCTCAAAAAATCGACAGTGACCTTTATGTATTATCTGGTTGTGCTTATTGACCTCAAACTGATTTTATGTGGTTATTGTGAATGAGTTGAATAAAGTTTATCTGTTTTGTTTCACTTGCGTCTTATAATCCAGTGCGCCTTATAAGCTGAAAAATACGGTATCTGATCTTTACCAAGATCAAAATGATTTAAATCCAACCTCAAATGTGCAAAAACAGATTTGTTATATAGTCAACAGAAACAAAGCAAAAATGGAAAAGTGCCAAGCCCCAGCTGTAGAACAAGTCACATTTTACTCTAAAAGACTTGTGTCCACAGAATTCATGGTTGAGTGCAGGTGCAAAACAAGCCCACGTCATCATCCCTCCACCACCGTGCACAGTTGGTGCTGTTAGACACCGTTAAGTTGTCTATTCAGTTAAATTACTCAGGGGGCCACAGTTACAGGGGCCGAACATCCAGCAGTTACTGTCATTAAGTAAAGTTGTTTCATGGTTTTAAATCCAGTTTTATGTAAAAATGAACCCATCGGTGGACCGAACTGAGCTCACCCGTGCCAACAGTGGACTAGCCCTGAGCTAAATCTTGATAGGGTGGATTTAGTTTTTGTGCATCTCCAAAAATTAAAATGAAACTTATTTTTTTTAAGTCAAGTCATTTCAGGACTCGTGGATTCATTACACAGAGAGAAATATTTCCAGAGGAATTGAACTTTTTCACGATATTCTAATTTCTTGAGATGCACCTGTGGCGCTTCTGTTTTGACTTCGTTTGGTACATGACAACATAATCTGTATGTTTTTGCAGATATGAGATTAGATTTGAACAATTTTAAGAACAAGTCCTTTTTATTATCCATCCATTCATCATCTTTACCCGCTTCTCTCTTTCTGGGTCACTGGTGCCCATATCCAGCTATCACTGTGGGAGAGGCGGGGGACACCTTGGACAGGTCCAAGTCCATCACAGGGACACAGAGACAAACAACCATTCACTCTTTCACTCACACCTAGGGGCAATTTAGAGTTACCAATCAGCCTAACATGCATGTTTTTGTTCAGTGGGAGGAAACCGGAGCACCCGGAGAAAACCCACGCATGCCCGGAGAGAACATGCAAACTCCATCCAGAAAGGTCCCGGGCCGGGATTTGAACCGGCAACCTTCTTGCTGAGAGGGAACAGCTCTACCAACTGTCCCACCCTTTTTATTGTGTTTTATTATATCAAATCCTCTGAACTTAAAGGGGGGTGGACTCTCTCTTTCTTACAATTGTATATTTCTGTTGTCAAAACTTCAAGCATGCGGAGCTTCTGTTGATCAAAGTCCTTCCTCCTGGTTCTCATGTCAGGACAGGCTGCCTCGCCGTCACGAACCTGTTGGCACCAACGAAACAAAACCAAAAACATAAAGTGCTCGAAAAGAAATGCCTCTAGCTCACGTTGGCTGGTCTTCAACAGCCAAACGTGCAGGATGACTTCTGAAGAACCGGTCCGGATGAACAGTGACGTGACACAAAACGACAATTAAACTGCGTCCGACAATATAGTTCCTACATAAATAAGCTTAAAATTCAAATCTACTCCGTAAAAAAAAAAAGGAAAATAGTGCATTTACAATCCTGTTAAAATAATCTCTGGCATGCCAATGTAATCTACAAACAAAACTTTAAATAAAACTAAAAGATTGTCCCGTTCAGTGCGCTAAAAGCTTGTTTCTTCATCCTTCTGGAATGGTTGTTGTAGAAAGAGTGCGGCGAGAACACGAGTGTCGGTCCGGCACGGAGAGTGAATTTTCCCCCTTGCTTCCCTCCAGGTGTCTGAAGCTAGTCGTTACCTGACGGACAATAACAGAACAGGTTTCATGTTTGAAGGAACGGATCACGTTACAGATTAAAACACCTGCACAATGCGTTAATTGTCGAGTTCCCCAAACAACACTGTTTAACTCATATGGCGCAGATATGAAGTAGATACTGACCTGTGATGTATTTTGCACAAATTAGCATCAACATGCTGCCCATGATGTAAAATCCCAGGGGGACACTGCAGAAAATGCTCGTTTCACCTGTTGGGCAACAAAAAAATGCAGAAACAAAATGTCAAAAACACAAAATTTATATTAGTTTGTGTTTGGAAATGACTCTGGGATCAGATAAAAATGCCTTAGGAAACTTTAAAATATAATAAATCTAGTTGAAAAATATTGTTAAAGTTGTCATCATTGGGTCCAACCTTTACAACATAAAAGGGAGAGTTTCACTAAAATCTGTCCAGTGGCTTCTGAAATATTTCGCTAACAGATAAACAATGTTGACTCTAAAATAGTTAATGGAAAATTCAGACAGAGTTGTAGCTGGTTTTGTGTTCGCTGTGGTGGGTTAACCATGGTGGCCACGTTAACACTGACCAATGGAAACATGACATGTAGAAGCAAGGAAACATCTAAAACGTGTTAAAGTTGGAAATAGTGTATCTGCTTCAGTGCCTCTTTCCTGCGGGGTTCCACAGGGCTCGATTCTTGGACTCCTTTTGTTTTCACTCTATCTGTCCCTTTTGGGGTCTATCCTGACGAAACGTGGTCTTTCAATTCATTGTTATATATGATTGTCAGATTTATCTGCCCTTGAAACCTAATAGTTTTTGCTCCATTCATCCTCTGTTCAAATGTCTTGATGACATCAAACATGGATGGCTTCAAATTTTTTAAGTTTTAATGATCAGAAAACTGAAGTCATTGTGTTTAGCCCTAACTTTACCACTGTCTCTGATCCTGTAAAACTTGACTCTCTTCAGCCATATCTTAAGAAGTCTATTACAAATCTTGAGATGGTTTTAGACTCTGACTTTAAGTTTAATAAACGGGGCGGCTGTGGCTGAGTGGCTGAGTGGTTAGAGCAGTCATCCTCCAATGCGAGAGTTGGGGGTTCAAACCCACCAGCAGTCACATGTCGAAGTGTCCCTGGGCAAGACACTGAACCCCTCATTGCCTCTAATGTGTGTCCTATCGGTGTATGAATGTCATAAAGCTCTGATTAGTCTCATTAGAATAAATTGTTCAATTAGCTTTGTAGAGATCTAGTAGAGTGCTGTATGAATGGGTAAATGAGGCACAGATTGTAGTGTAAAGTGCTTTGAGTATCTTGAAATAAGATAGAAAGGCGCTATATAAGTACAGTCCATTTACCATTTAAACAAATTAACTCTGTTCTGCAGAAAAGCTTCTTCCAGTTAAAGCAGATAGCTAAGTTTAAGCCAGTGTTATCCAGACCTGACCTTGAAAAACTAGTCCATGCCTTTATCACTACCTGACTGGACTACTGTAACGCACTCTATGTTGGGGTCAGTCAGGTCCATTTCACGTCTCCAGCTTGTACAAAGTGCTGCAGCTCGGCTACAGGAACTTGTAAGTTTGATCATAATTCACCAGTTTTGTCCTCCCTTCACTGGCTCCCTGTACGTACCAGAATTGAATTTAAAATTCTCCTGCTAACCTTTAAGTGCCTAAATTGCCTTGCACCCTCATATCTGTCTGAGCCACTTGAACAACATGTTCCTTCTCGGGCGCTGAGATCATCTGATCAGCTGCTTTTGACTGTTCCAAAAACCAGGCTGAAGCTCAGAGGTGATCGGGCTTTTTCATTCGTTGGCCCTAAACTTTGGAACAATCTGCCCTCCACCATTAGACAGGTCACTTCACTTCCTGTTTTTAATTCTTCGCTTAAAAACATGTTTTATCCGGCTTTTTACACAGTGTGACTTGATTTAGTATTTTATTGCTCTGAGTTTTTATGTGTTTCTTTTAATGCTTTTAATTAATTTTTCAGTACAATCATTTTTTCCCCATTAAATTACTCCCATTTATGTTACACACTTTGGTAACAGCTGCTGTTTTAAATGTGCTCTATAAATAAAGTTGACTTGACTTAAAACCTGCTGGGGAAACTGGCTTGCGGGGATAAACAGAAATTCTGGTGCTTGAGCCGGTAGTTTTATACGACTGAAACTTTATGTATTTTGGAGAGTTGCGGTAAAAACCCAGTTGATTTGTGATCAGTATGAGTGCTTACCGTTTCCATTTGCTACAGGCTGTGTTGTCTCCCAGTTCTTGGATTTCTCCACCGCCTTTTTCCAACGTGCGTACCGAAACTCGCTCTCTGTGCAAACACACACGAGTTTAGAGATTTAAGCGAAAACGAGGGACGTCCGCCGTGTCGTTTGAGGGTGGCAGCTGCCTCGTCGAACCTTCTGGGTTGATCTGAGGCTCAAACTTCTCTGACGTGACTTCGCTCAGGTCCTCGGGGTTCAGGCTCCACACTCTCACCCCCTCTGCTGCTCCAGCCGCCATCGCTGCACCCAGAGCTGTCGTCTCAGGCATGGATGGCTTCACTGGCAACAACACAAAATGTAAAACTAACGATTTAACAAACGCTCTGAAGACATTAACAGCTACTTGAAAATGTGTCAATATAATTTTTACACTTTTAACTGACTAATGCTAAAAGGCAGACAACAAAAGTTTTGCCTGTGTGTGTGTGTGTGTGTATGTGTCTGTTAGCAAAATATCTCATGAGCCACTGGTTATCTGTCTTGTTGTTATTACTCAAACAAAGCCTTGATTTAATTTTAAGAAAAGAAAAAAACCTTTATAAAAATGTAATGCACACTCTTTAGTACGTTGATAGTTGTAAAATAAAGGGTTGTTTCACGTTGGTCAGAACAACACTGGGGTCATACAGTTTAAAGTACGGCTGAACAAGTAATTGAATTTGCGATAATATCGAGATATAATAAAATGAGATTTTCTAATCGCAAAAGCTTCAATTTGATTGGTCACGTGATCTGGTTACGTGACTTGTGAGCGGAGCAGAGCACAGAGTGTGAGAAGTCAACACTGCGCTTTAACCGGTTGCACAATGGAGTCAGGCTCGACAAAAGCTGATTAGAGCTGTAATTTCTAACCCGAACCTGGAGCCCGGCCCATAATAATGTGCGGGCCGGGCCCGGTATCGGGCTTTTGATTGCGTCAGTGGACGTGTGCAGCTGACGAGCCAATTATATGGCAACATGGCTTGCCATACAATCACCAGCCGCACGCGGCCATTTGACCGCACGCTGACCGGCTTTGGAAGAGGTAAAATAAAGTTCAGTTAAGCTTCAGATGGGACTATACTGCCAGGCAGTGATCCACCAAAGCCCAAATGGACGTTCATTCAGCCGCTACACTCAGCGGACGCTAGAGCTGTCATTGCTAACCCGAACCCAGAGCCCTGCCCCGCCCAACTCGGATTCGGACCGGGCCATAATAATGTGCGGGCCGGGTCAGTATCAGGCTTTTTATTGCGTCAGGAACACATGCGGACGACGATCCAATATATGCAAACATGGCTTGCCATACTGCACCTGCCGCACGTGGTCATTTGACAGCGCGCTGACCGGCTGGCTGAAAGAAGTAAAAAGTTCAGGTACGCTTCAGATGGACTATTGCCAGCAATCCATCAGCCCAAATGGACGTGCACTCAGCTGACGCGCGCAGCCGAGACCCAAACAGATGAGATCACAAAATATCCACGTCAGAGCAGGATGCAGGCAGAAGCAGAGGAAGCATTTAATGTGCTTGTCGGCTCTTCGGCTCTGATCTTATCAACCGCGCGCATACGCCAGCCGTTAATAATAGTTGGTAGTATAAGCAGTCAAAGCTTAATTAAAATGTCTGGTTTTTTTTGTTTTTTTTCAGGTTCGAACATGCAATTAGTTAATTTGTCGGCTCGGGTGGGGTTTGGAGATGATAGCTATGGGCTGGGGCCAGGTCAGTTCGGATTATTTGGACCCAAGTGCAACTCTAGCGGACGCACGCGGCCGACGACCCAATCAGGTGAGATCCCAAAATATCCAACATGTCAGAGCAGGGTCTGTGTCTGAATAATGCAGAATGCAGGCAGAAGCAGGGATTTAACGTGATTTGACGCCCATGAAAGGACAAACATCCCCTCAGCTCCGATCTTCTACCTACTTAGCCGCGTGCGTCCGCCGACTGTTAATAACCATATAAACAGTCAAAGCTTAATTAAAAATGTCAGGGTTTTTTGGGTTCGGACGTGTAATTATTGTTAATTCGTCAGGTCGGCTGCAGGTCGAAAATGATGGCTACAGTCTGGGGCCTGGTTGGGTCTGACTTTTTTGGCCCTGAATGCAACTCTAAAGCTGACACATCTGAAAGTTTGGTACCAAAGAGCGGCAGCACGTCCGTTGTTTGGAATTATTTTGTCTATAAAAATAAGACGCTGCGCAACGACATGTATTGTGCAGAACCTGCCTTGCTGCTGTTGCTACCTCTCGAGGTAACACCACAAATCTTTATCAACACTTAAAAAAACACCACAAAGCCATTTACGATAGTTTTTTGGCTAGAATCCCAACGACCAGTGCTTCAACTTCAAGTTAGCAAAGTACCAGCCGACAGGGATCACTGACCGAACTGTTCGAAGATATTGCTCCGTATGAACATAATTCAGAACGGCACGTGGAAATAACTCAAACAATAACGGAGTTCATAGCGAAAGACATGATGCGCATTAATATAGTGACCAAGCCTGGGTTTACGTCTTTGGTAAACACAATGGATAAGCGGTACAGAATGACCTCGTACACACATTTTATCCAAGCTGCTATGGAGCTATACAAAAAATACAGAAACAAAGTTGCAGCGGAGCTGAACACAGTGGAGTATTTTGAAATTGAAACAGATAATTTATTGCTTGTGTTCATTGAAAAATAACTGCATATTAAATTGCAATCGCAATATTGAGGTAAAAAACAAAACAAAAAAAAAAACGCAATTAGAATATTTTCCAAAATCGTTCAGCCCTAGTTTAAAGTTGAAAAGAGCTCACATAATACACTGACTAGTCAAAATAAGCTGACTACCTGAATATACTGAATGACCAGGTTCTTCCATCAATGGATTTAATGTCAGGCTTCATCGTGCTCAAACTGTGAAAGAGGAACACGAGACGTCATTTTTACACATGGACTGGTCACCACAGAGTCCAGAACTGAACCCCATTGAGAATCTTTGGGATGTGTGCAGTGGTCAGAATCTGCTGTCATCAATACAAGATCTTGGTGAAAAACGAACGCAACTCTAATCCATAACTGGTAAGAAAGAGTGCTAAATCATAATGTTATGTGCAGCCCCTCATCATGAAAGTATTTCCCACCAAGTTTCATTAAATTCCTTTAAAAGGTGTAAACGGAATTGAGCCGACAAGAAAACTGCTAATAGACTTCGACGGACAGATGACCCATACCAGAACATAATTCAACCCTTTGAGTGAAGGCAGGAGAGATCATATCGCTCCAGTTTTAGCTTCTCTCCACTGGCTCCATGTCAAATTCAAAATAGAATTCAAAATCTTACTTCAAACCTACAAAGCCCTCAACAACCTAGCTCCATCTTATAATACAGATCTTATTGTTTCGTATTTTCCTAACAGAGCACTTCGCTCTCTAACTTCAGGTTTACTTTCGGTTCCTAAAGTTTCCAAGAGCAGAATGGGAGGAAGATCTTCCAGTTATCAGGCTCCTCTCTTGTGGAACCAACTTCCAGTTTCTGTCCGTGAGGCTGACACATTGTCCAGTTTAAAGACTGGGATTAAGACTTTCCATTTTGATAAATCCTATAGTTAGGGTTGGCTTGTTATGCTGCTATAGGTTCAGACTACTGGAGGACAAATTAACCTCATTTCCGTAAATTAATTTTTACAACTGAATAGTTTTCAGTTGATATTATTTCCATCTTAACATGTGATTCTTGACCTGCCATTGTGTATCTGTTCCTCCTTCCTGTTCCTCTCAACCCAGCCAGTTGAAGCAGATGACCGCCTGTCCTGAGCCTGGTTCTGCTAAAGGTTTCTTCCTCATGAGGGAGTTTTTCCTTTCCACTGTCGCCTTGATGCTTGCTTAAGATGAGAATCTGCAATGAAGTTAAATTCAAAGCCGTCTGCTCCTCAGATAAATAATATTAAGTTATTATTTTTATATATGAATGTTTCTGTTCAGTGCTCTGAGACGACTTCTATTGTGACTTGGCGCTATAGAAATAAACTGAATTGACTTCAAATGGCTACGACTCAGTCAACTTTACAGATAATGAGCTAAAATTTGATGTGGTGGTAGCTGAGAGTCCTACACAACACTTACTCTGAACCCTAACAAGCAAATATGTTCTTGCTTTTAGTATTTCACCCTGTTTTACGGCACTCTGATTTATTGTTTTGTACACTACTCTTATTTAGCTGCATTTTGACTGTAGTTTATTATAATCATTGTTTACTGTTTTATCGTCTGTACTTTACATGTTCTGTCTGGAACAGGTCCCTCTTGCAAATGAGTCCCTGTGGCTCAATGAGGCTAGCCTGTAAATAAAGGTTGAATGAATAAGAGATTGTGCAGGAATCTAGCTATAATGAGTGAAGTCGTGCATAACTTAATTTTCAAGGTTCCACCAAAACGCCTTTAACTCTATTTCTCCACATAAGAACGAGCTTAGTTTAAATGTTTTGTCACCAAAGTCAACAAATGATGGACATCCCTTCAAGTAACTGTTTCCTGAAACTGTAGCTTCAGAGCAGATACGTGTCAAATATCCGTGGTTAAAGAACCAGCCCGGTCCCTTTTGGCACCACTCCAACTCCTCGTATGTATAAGCAAAGACTTAACGCAAACATGACGCACCAACAGGGATGCAGAGGATGTCGGCCTGCAGCTGCATCAGCAGCCTGTTGGATGTCATTCCTCCGTCCACCTGCAGCTGAGTTAGAGGGATGCCACTGTCCTGATTCATGGCGTCGAGGATCTGCAAACACACAAGAATAACTATTATTACGCAAAAACAGATGATAAACAAAGTACAGGTGCATCGCAAAGAATCTGAATATCATAAAGGTCCATTTTTTGGTCAATCGTTTCAGAAAGTGAAACTCATATAGATTCATTAGGCATAGACAAGGCGAGGTCAGCGAGCAAGGCTAGGCTTATTCTGGCAGATCCTGATCGTCCACTCCATGGTGAGTTCAGGTTGCTTCCCTCTGGACGCAGTTATCTGCTGCCCAGATGTGGAATGAACGGACTGAAGAACTCATTCATCCCTGTAGCAATCATGCTTCTCAATGAACAGTGATGATTTCATGTATTATTTTAATGTCTTAATGTTTTGTCTAGTATGGCTGTTTTATGTGTCTGCTGACTGTGAAACTAATTGCCCCTTGGGGATAATAAAGATTCTTGAACCATTACACACAGTGAAATATTCCAAGGCTTTATTGATTGTAATTTTGATGATTATGGCTTACAAACAATGAAAAACTAAAAATCAGTGTCAGAAAATTAGAAAATAGTGAGGAGGTTCAACATCGGAAAATCCCGCACAGATGAATCCTAGACATTATATCTCATTCCTCAAGTCAAGCCACTCCTGGATGCTTCCTCAGAAGCGTCTTACCTGGCTGAAGACAAAAAGAACCGGCCTGTTGCTCAGTGGTCCAATGCCCTCTCTTCAAATGAAAGTACATTTTCACGTCATTTGGAAATCAAGGTCCCAGAGGAAGAGTGGAGAGATCCAGAATCCACGTTGCATCAAGTCCAGAGTAAAGTTTCCGCAGTCAGTGACGGTTTGGGGCCATGTAAATAAATAAAGTGATGTGTTGTCATCATTGTATGTTCCCATACAATGACGAAATTAGTTCTCTGCATTTAACCCATCACACATGACATAGATCCAGGTGGAGCAGTGGATGGCTATGCAAGCGCCCGGGGAGCAATTAGGGATTAGGTGACTTACTCAAGGACACCACGACACATGTCTCTAGTCTTGTCTTTTAATTACTGTATTTTCCATCTGACACGTCGCTCCGCCCTATAAGTTGCATCAGTCCATATTTGTCTAATAAAGTGGAAAAATCCATAAATATGTCGCTTCGCCGTATACATCTCATCTATTATGCGTCACCGCTGACAACCCGGAAATGTGGGCCGGTGTTGTGCCAAAAATCGATGGGATGCCAAATGGCGGCCGCGGGAGCATGCACAGGACTTTGACAAGAATTTAACAAGATAAATACGTAAAAACAATTATTTGTTTGCTCAAATTATAGTAAAGGTGTGTCTCAGTCTAACGTTTGCTTAATAAATGCACTATGACGGTCAAATCAGCTGTATCTCAAAAGCCGATACGCGGAAGTAAACGCATGCATACAACCAGTCGCTGTGCAAATTTAACAAGATAAACGCCTAAAAACAATTACTTGTTTGCTCGAAATTATAGTAAAGGTGTGTCTCAGTCTAACGTTTATTTAATAAATGTACTTTAATGGTCAAATCAGCTGAATTTTAAAAATAGTTTTGCTGCCTCTGTGCTCCGTGAGCGCACAGAGGAAGAAAAAAGGGAGGAGCGCGGCTCGTTTCTCCGATAATTAAATAAACAATTATTTGTATACTCGAAATTATAGCAAAGGTTTGTCTCAGTCTAACATTTACTTAATAAATGCCCTTTAATGGTCAAATCAGCTGCATTTTGTCGAGGCGGTGCAGCTGGTTTGATGGTTTCAAGCAGTGAGCAGAATGAAGGTGGGGTGAACATGGCAGGCCGATTGAGTCATTAATAGCTGGTGAAGATTCTCAGTCATCCAGGACATGATGAATTCAAAAAAGTTCAAGAAAAAAAAAAAACAATAAAGAAGCATTAACAACAACAAGCAGATGTTTTTGTCTTGAACTTTTTTGAATTTGTCATTATAGTTACGTTTACCTATTACATGATACAACGGTATGCCATACAGCTACTACTGCTACTACTACTCTGCTGCCATCAAGTGGCTGAAAGTGGTACTGCTATTTTTTTTTTTTTCAGTCAGAATGAATGAAAACGGTCATATCTCAGCCAAATGCTGGTTTATAAATATGGAAAAAAATCCATAAATATGTCGCTTCAGCCTATAAGTCGCAGGGCATGTAAATTATGCAAAAAAAATGGTGACTTATAGGCTGAAAAATACGGTACTTATTTAGATTAGGTTAGATGTCTATTTGTATTTATTGTACTGTTGTGTATCTGCACTGTGTGTTGTACTGTTTTTGCATGTAATGTTCTGTGTTGCACCATGATCCTGGAGGAACACCGTTTTGTTTCCATATGTACTTGTAGCTGAAATGGCAATAAAACCTCTCGGACTCTGATATGAGGGCATGGCGGGGAGTTGAACCTGCGACTTTCTGGTCCCAAGTCGGCTGCCCTACCTCTACACCATCTTGGTCCAATGTCTTCTGCTGGTGCACTGGGTTTTTTTGAAGTCCACAGCCAGGTAAGACGCTTCTGACATCTCTGGTTCAGGAGTGGCTTGACTTGAGGAATGCAACATTTGTAGCTCATGTCTCAGATTCTTCTGTGCATGAGTTTCCACTATTGAGCCTCTTCACAATATTCTAATTTTCTGAGACACTGATATTTGTTTTTTCATTATCTGTAAGCCATAATCATCAAAATTACAAGAAATAAAGGCTTGAAATATTTCACTCTGTGTAATGAATCTATGTAATAAACGAGTTTCACTTTCCAAAATGATTGACCAAAAAAAAAAAAACTTTTTCACAATATTCTAATTGTTAGAGATGCTCCTGTAATCCGATATAAGAAAGCAAAGTCAGGGCAAATAGTTTACCTACATTTAATACTACCGTAGATGCATTTTAAACAATTTCAGTGTTTTTTACCTCTCGTGTTTGAAAACAGACGGCTTCCAGAGCAGCAAACGCCAGATGACTCTTATTGGTAAACTGAGTTAATCCACAGATGATCCTGTGAGACAGAGATTCAGCCTGAGTCAGTCACAAAGTTTGCTGCTCCGTTACTACAGTCCAGAGAAGTGAGTGACAGGTCGTACCCTCGTGCGCTCGGCTCCCAGTACGGTGCGTAAAGACCCGAAAATGCAGGAACAAAGTAACAACCGTAGGACGTGCCGACTGATGCAGCCAACTTCTCTGGACAGAACAAGAGACACCATTAGAGTCATTTCTGGAGGTAACAACTATATACTTTATGTTCACTTGGCTAGAAAAAAAACACATTTAATAAACCAGAAGTTTAAACTAAGATCACCTTACCTCGATAAACAATGACATTTCTGTGTTTCTAGTCAAATCTTACAAAGGACAAATCTTTCAGCGCTCAGAGTTACGCCTGTCACAATAAAAAACTTTGCTGGGTGATTAATTATCTCAGAAATTATTGCGATAAATGATAATATTGTTTGAAATTTGACAATAATTGGTAATTATTGTCAAATTTAAGAAGAAATGTTTGTAAATTTGTTTTGTATGTAGTATCTTATTCGACCACTGGATGGCAGTATCAGAGTCAGAGTCAGAGATTCTTTATTGTCATTCGCACCTCATGTGGTACATGTGGTGGAGCGAAATTATGTACACAGGGTCCCAGTTACATCCAACAATAAAATGTATAAGAAAAACAGTAATAACATCTAAGATATGAACTAAGAAAAACATCAACTAAATATACACTAAGCACTCATAACATAAAAACATTGAACATCAGCACAAACATGAACATGAGTCTGTGAGCAGATGTGCACGCATGAACACAGCAACATTGAAACAGATCAGCAGCAACATGATGTGGTTTTTCACAGTGATTATTCTGGTTAGAGATTCATAAGTCTAACAGCCTCAGGGTAGAAGCTGTTCCTCAGTCTAGTGGTTCTACACTTAATGCTTCTCAACCTCCTTCCTGAGGGGAGTGGGGCAAAAAGTGTGTGTGCTGGGTGAGTGGGGCCCTTCATGATGCAGGTGGCTCTCTTCCTGCATCTGGAGGTGTAGATGTCTGTGATGGTGGGGAGGTTGACTCCAGCAGACTTCTGTGCAACCTTCACCACTCTCTGCAAAGCTTTTCTTTCTGCAGCTGTGCAGCCTCCATGCCACACGTTGATGCTGGAGCACAGGATGTTCTCCACTGCACACCTTTAGAAGGAGGTGAGGACCGAGCTTCCCAGACCAGCTCGCCTCAGCCGTCTGACGAAGTAGAGTCTCTGATGAGCTTTCTTGATCAGGCTGGTTGTGTTGTTGCTCCAGCTGAGGTTGTTGTTCAGGTGCACACCCAAGTACTTGTAGCTGGAGACCACTTCCACCGCAGATCCTCTTATGTTCAGGGGGGTGTAGATGTTTTTGTTCCTTCTGAAGTCCAGTTCAGTTATAAGACTTGTATAGTCTTATAACAGACTTATAACTTATAAGTTATAAGACTGTAGTGAACTAAGCCTCAGGTCAAATCTGGCCCTGAGGGCCTTCCT